CTCAGGAAAGATCAGGGACATGGCCTAGGACATGGCCCTCTTTCAGCATTTTCAGTGGCTGTAATTTATAATTAACACAGCAGCTGTGCTGTGGAACATTCATGGTTTCTAACAGTTTACATCTTAACTGATTAAGAAGAGAATGCAGTGTCTGTCAATCTCATTTTTATAATGACTGTTAGAAGTGGAATTTCCAGGTTAAATATATATAAGATTAATTTGAGGATCTCAGATTTTTCACCTGAAACATCAGCATAGAGACAGAGCCTGGTAGAGGAAGACTGAGTCTGCTCAGATCTATGTGGAGATCTAAAGTCAGAGAGATGGTCCATGCAGAGGTGTAGGACACCATGGCTTAAAACGGCCTGGTGCAGGCCTCCTCATCCATCAGTAATTTCTCAGGAAAGCATCACACACTGTACGCTGCACAGGAGAGAGCTGGAATGGTTCCAGAGCTCTTCCCTACATGCCTGAGGCCCCCTCTCTCACTCAGGGGAGCTCTGTATGAGGTCAGTCTGTTACAGAGCCCAACTTGACTGAATGTTTTCCACCCAGGTGCAGATCTGAACTGCCACATGTGGACTCACCATAGTTATGGAGCATGACAGGTGTTTACAGGGAGCAGGTCAGGAGATGGGGACACTGCAGGCAGGTCAGGGTATGAAGCCTTAAATAAGAGACATGCCCTCACCAGCCCCAGTTTCCTCCAGCATTAACCAAACCCTGCAAGAGTGTGCATTAAAAACTGAGTAACTGAAAGGAGTTACTCACAAAATTATATATTATAGAGATAGTTTGAAGATGCAATATAAATGGAAGCATTCGTAAGTAAAATGAGATGTGACCCTTAATGGATATGTGGTGTCCATTGATGTCCCCAGCCACATGCATCAGAAGGAAACAGTCTGATGAACAGAGCAATAAGGAGCACAGGCAATGGGTAAATATCACAGCTTCTTAATAACAACAACAAAGCTGGGATACAAAAAGTGCACTGGTGAATTTTATCCAGTATATAATAAAGAATAAATACTGATTTTTTTCAGTTCTTTGATGAAGTTGAAGAAAAACCCACCACCAACTTCTTTTAAGTGACAAAGTTAAAGTTACCCTGAGAATGAAGCCAGACAATAATGTGTTAAAAATAATATAAATGAAAACACTCTGTTGGCTAATATTCCTACCAAACATAAACAAAAGTGTTCAGCTAAATGTTTGCAATGTTATCTCACCAGCATATTCAAAATTAACCAACATGATCAACACTGGACTCAATCTCAGTGGTGCAAGAATGGTCCCTCTCTAACAAACTGTTTCCACTGGTTTTAACATGTTGTATCTTACTATATTTTACTATATGTGATAGTATAAAGAAAAATTATATAGGCAAGGAGATAATATAGAAACCATTGTTCGTTTTCTGTTAACTGGTTCTAAATACCCTGTAATTCTTTCATTCTGTTGAATGGCTTCACACTGTCTTGATATGTTTGATGCTATTGTATACGAAGTTATACTCAAATAATTCAAGGAATGAGGCACTATGGTGACTACTATTATGTTAGATTATCTGGGAGTGAAACACAATTATGCTTAAATTGTTCCATTCTGACCAGTGTTGTTCTATTACAATATCCTCTTTTATCTCAATCTCCACCCTTTTTTTAAATTAAACTTTTTTATTTTTTTCAATTAAGGGAAAACTAAATTTAAAAATAGCGGGATGTATTATAGTAACTATTAGTTTTCCTATTAACCTGATTTGAACCCCAGTATTGCTCTCCACATCTTGTTCTGTCTGATTTTACTATATTCTATTTTGTTTGATAATATCAAGTTTGAGTGTATAGACAACCACTTTGAAAGCCATAAGATTTATTATGATGGCCCATTATAGTTTGACTATTATCTTCTTTTGAAGTCTTGCAAGGTTTCCAGTGTAGGTTTTTTTGGTCTTGTTCTGTACGGTTTTGATCAATTCTATTATACCTGATGATATAGCAACTCTTTTTAAAAATAGCAAGAGGCACCATGGTAACCATTTTTGATCATCTGATAGTCTATTTTTGCATCATGTACTATGCCCATCCTTCTGTTCTAACTGTCTCTGTTTTATTTAGTCATGTTAGGATTTATTCTCTTCAAAAAAATGTAATAAGAACTGTGGGAGTAAAAAAACTCAAAACGTGTAACTGTTATTGTAAAAAAGAGAGGAAAGGAAGGTGGTCTAAGGGATATAACTGCATGCTTGAGTGTGTAGGATGGAAAATCATATTACTCAGCTTTTGTTGGATCACTGAACAGAACCTTCTGCAATCTCACTGTATGAATGTCCACTTTATATGCTTTAATTTTATAATTTGGACAACTGTTTCTAAGATGACTGAAAGGGTTTTGGCCCAGATAGGACACTGTAGCCAGGAAAGCCACAACCGGAAGCAGGAAGCCCCATCTCCCCTGCCCCTAGGAAGTTACCTGTGATGCCATCTTCCCACCCCTGGAAATTTACATAGGGCGCCAAACCTAAGACCAATGGACTACCTGGGTATCCCTAATGCCCGCCTTAGGTTCCACCCCAAACCAAGCCTATTTACAAGCCCCCATGCCACGTGTCCGCCGGAGAGATCACTTGACGCCAGCGGTGGGGGTGCCTGTCATCTCTCTCCGTGTTCTCAGAATAAAGGCCACTTTTTATTTTATATTTCTCATCTTTTGTTAATATTTTTCATCTTTTGGAAATAACCCTAGCAATGACAATATGTAACCTATTAACTAGTGATTTCTTACTGTATTTTTTCTTGAAATTCTGTATTACTTGTACCCTTTTACTGCTTTGTTTTTTATTTCCTTTCTTCTCTTTAATTAAACAAATAATCAAACCTGGAATGGATATCTTTTATTTATTTATTTTTTTGGCTCTGGAGATCAAACTCATGACCTCACACTTGCCAGGCAGGTGCCTTAAGCCACTGAGCTAAATCCCCAGCCCACCAATGGATATCTTTTACACCTTGTCATCTTCAGAGTAGTTGCCTCTGCTCTTGAACTTGATACCAGCAAGCATATCAAATGTGAATAAAATCAGTCAAGGCCAAATAACATTGAAACAATCCAGCTTCAAAGAAGATCAGTCATAGAAGACAATGTAAGTAATATAGGGATTCAGTTTTAGTTAATAGGAAATTAAGGATAATTACCATGGTATAACCTGCTATTTTTGGGTTATCTCTCTGTGCCCTCAAATCTAATATGAGTAGACAGACCAGAACAAAATATAACCAAACTATACAGAGCAACAAGACTACTGTAGCTTTTAAATCCTGATACACTTTTAACTATGTCCTCTGCCTTCTTTTTTAGGCAATTCCTCACCTTTATCCTTCTCAGGATACTATTATTCACTGTTCAGAATGATATTAGTCTAGTCTCTTATGTTCCATTTCAGCATACATGAAGATAAAGACAGCTACTACAAAGACCATGACAGACATTATTGTAGTCATTATCGACTTCCCCCAAATCAGTCTTGAAGATCAAAAAAGCTTGCATCATCCTGTAATTACTTGATTAGTTCTATAATATTCAGTATATATTCAAAGTGTGTGAGGATGGGAACAACTATTTGGAAAAAAACTAGAGACAGTAAAATAGACAGTGAACATTTCCAGTGGACTTGCTTTGAAATCTGTGTTTCCTTAACTTGTTTCCTTATGAACTGTTTTGCTCTGTTTTGCTATGTTTAATCTTACCCTCTTTAAGAAAAAAAAGTGTGTAGGACAGATAGGCATATTAATAACTTTTTGGTGGATCATTGAGGTGAACCGTGACAGTGTCATTATTTGAATATCACTTTGTATGCTTTCAATTTGTAACTTGAACAACTACTTCTAAGATGACAATATAATACTAATCAACTAGTGATTTCTTATTGTTTATTTTTCTGAAATTCTGTATTATTTCTACACTTTTTTTTCTCTTTAAATAAACAACATTACAATTCAGAAAATACAAAATTTAACTTCTAAAGACAAAATATTAAGTATGAAGGCACTATCCATACTTGAAAGTGAAAAGCCCATTTCAGTTTAGCATGTTTAATTACAAGATGCCATGTTGAAGCACAAAAACATCTAGATTAATAAATCTAGAGAGGTACAAGTGATTAACTGAAAACCATACAACATGTGCACCTAAGGAGAGCCCCACCACAGATTTGTCATTTCTGGAATATTTGTGAAGAAATATTGACATCTAACTTCTGTATTGATTATTTCTTCAGGTCTCCTTGGGATTTTGAAAGTAAACTTAGATCTAAACTGTCTGAACAGTGATACTTTTTCTATGTATTTAACAAGAAACATGGATTGCTATATTTCTCACATTGGTAATCCACATATCATCTCTGCCTAGTGAGCTCTTTCAGATATGTAACAATGATCAAGTATGCTGAGAGTATTCCCATAACACAAAGGGTTTATCTCTTGTGTGAGTTTTTTTCATGTATTTCCCTTACAATCTGGCTGCTGAAAGTGTCTCCATTTGCTTACATAGCCAGTGGTTCTTCCCAGTGTGAATTTTTTCATGTGTTTTGCAATGACTATATGCAGTAAAAGCTTTGCCACATTGTTATACACATAGGCTTTCTCACCAGTGTGAAGTCATAGATGTATTTTACAAAATCCATGTGTGGTGAAAGCTTTCCCACATTCTTCACATACACACAGGGTTTCTCAACCATGCAAATTTTATAATGTATTGGACAATGAGCATTTCTGCAGAAACCTTTCCCACATTCCTACCATATGTAAGTTTTCTGCCCACTGTGAAGATTTTCATGCATTATGCAATATATACCTGTGCTGAAACCATTCTCATGATGCCTATATACACTGGTTTTATATTGAATGTGAACTTTCATGTTTCTTACAATCTCCCTGTGTTTTAAAAGCTTTCCCACATTGCTTACACACATATGCTTTCTCTCCAGTGTGAATTCTTTCATGAACCTTACAATTTGCACGTGTGTTAAAAGCTTTCCCACATTGCTTACATACATATGGTTTCTCTCCAGTGTGAATTCTTTCATGTTCCTTACAAAATCCAGGTCTGGTAAAAGCTTTCCCACATTGCTTACATACATAGGGTTTCTCTCCAGTGTGAATTCTTTCATGAACCTTACAATTTGCATGTGTGTTAAAAGCTTTCCCACATTGCTTACATACATAGGGTTTCTCTCCAGTGTGAATTCTTTCATGTTGCTTACAGTATCCCCATGTGTTAAAAGCTTTCCCACATTGCTTACATACATATGGTTTCTCTCCAGTGTGAATTCTTTCATGTTCCTTACAAAATCCAGGTCTGGTAAAAGCTTTCCCACATTGCTTACATACATAGGGTTTCTCTCCAGTGTGAATTCTTTCATGAACCTTACAATTTGAATGTGTGTTAAAAGCTTTCCCACATTGCTTACATACATATGGTTTCTCTCCAGTGTGAATTCTTTCATGTTCCTTACAAAATCCAGTTCTGGTAAAAGCTTTCCCACATTGCTTACATACATAGGGTTTCTCTCCAGTGTGAATTCTTTCATGTTTCTTACAACATCCAGGTCTGGTAAAAGCTTTCCCACATTCCTTACATACATAGGGTTTCTCTCCAGTGTGAATTCTTTCATGATTCTTACAATCTCCCTGTGTTTTAAAAGCTTTCCCACATTGCTTACATACATATGGTTTCTCTCCAGTGTGAATTCTTTCATGAACCTTATAACTTGCACGTATGTTAAAAGCTTTCCCACATTGCTTACATACACATGGTTTATCTCCAGTGTGAATTCTTTCATGTTCCTTACAATATTCAGGTCTGGTAAAAGCTTTCCCACATTGCTTACATACATATGGTTTCTCTCCAGTGTGAATTCTTTCATGTGCCTTACAATGTCCAGGTCTGGTAAAAGCTTTCCCACATTGCTTACATACATAGGGTTTCTCTGCACTGCAATATTTTTCATGGATCTGAACATCATGGTGTGTTTCTGTTTCTTTCACATTCACATTACCTTCTGCATTACAAAGAAGTACTTCTTTACACTGCTTCCAAGATGTATGTCCATAAGATTTCCCTAGCTTGTCGTTTCTGGAAAGAAAAAATCACATATAGGATTTATAACCATATTACTAAGCTTTTTTCGAGAGTTGAACAAAACTGTTTGCAGTCTCATTGTTTGAATCCCCACTTGATATGTTTCACTTTTGTATTTCATGACTATTTCTATGATCAGCATTTGTAATCATCATCTTGCTATTTGTTACTGTTTTTTTTCACTTTGAATGCAGTATTATTTCTACTTATTTTGTCTTATTTAATCTTTCCTTATATTAAATTTAAAAAAAGAAAAAATTCACTGTGAAATTGGTCTCCGTTTAATGACTGCATTAATATCAAGTTCTGTGTTTAATGCCTGCTAAGAAATTCTGACCAAGAAGCAACAGAATGGCCTTGTAAGATATGTTGAAAACAACCATTCCCAAAAGACTGGTACACATTTGGAAATCTTAAAAGTTGGTACTTTGAAATGCATAATCTTTACCTTCACTTTGGGAATGGGTACATATATGTATCACATGCAGATTATTCTCATATGTTTCCCCATCACAATCTTCCTTCTGTCCTTAACTTGTAGTTCCCTTTTCCATCTGGTCAGTCTTACTTTTCTCTAACAACTCTGTTTCATTTCTTTCCACATTTTGTATTTTGGTTTCTCCTCTAAAAGAAAGCCAGTGACCTTTTAGGTTTTATAGCTGAGTTATTACACTGAATTGATGGGTGAAAGACCCATCTAATTCTTATGGCAAATGACATTATATTATTTATTTTTTGACATTATATAACACATTTTTTCCATTCTGGGCTGGGAATGAGCAACATATATTAGCATAAATCTATAGCTTTTTAAAAATCTATTTTAACAGATTTTCATAGATCATTAAGCTGTGAAGTTTGAACTTGAAATTGCCATTCTGCAAACAGATTTGCAAACTCTAGTGTGCTGGGTTTACAAGAATGTAAAATCACAGAGAGTCTATTAACATTTTCCTTCTCCACAAATCCAGTGATACATAGATAAGCTTCAAGGCCTGATCTGTCATAACTTGATCTGCTTTGTATATGACTAAGCATGTATCAGTATTTTATGCAGATTTTGAGATTTTAAAAATATCCAGGACAAGTATGAGGGGATCAGTTTCTAGAGACAACTGTATACTGATATTCAAAATTAGTGCACTAACATTCCACCAGCCTACTAAGAATATTAGTCAGAATCGCCGATTGTCTAGAGCATGGCTTGGAAACATGAGCACTCAGTTTTATTTCACATTCTACTGCAATCTTAGCAATTGTTAGATAATGAATGTGTTGTATTCACATGTATATATGGGTAGAAAAACTGAAGGCAGAATGTCATAACTCAAAGTGCATGCCTTTCGTACAGATCTATATGCAATGTCATACATTTTCATGATTTAATTCCCTCATATATACACTAGCTTATACATCTTTGGAGAATATTACTGACATTAAATTGAATGGTGCCTCATTTCTTTGGTGGTCATTTTTCTGCTGACTCACTAATTACTCAAGAACATTCCTCTCCTTGTGAGTGTGAATTACCTTAAGTATCTCCAGTAAATTTTGCATTCTTTTTCAGCTTCCTGGATATCCCCAAGTCCTCCTGAATTGTAGACATAGAAATACCAGGACTCAGTTGAGTAATACATACAAATTAATAGATTTTGTTTAGATTTATGATATAATGTGTCCAGGTCTGAGCTATTTTTAAAAATATTTTCATATTCTTTTTAACAAAACAGCACTAATGAGCAACAAACAATATTCTGACAGCATGAGTGCCAAAAAAGATTTCATCCTTACCTATTGCAGCCATGTTCCTAAAGATTTCACCCATCACATCTCTGTAGAGGTTCTTTTGGGATGGACTCAGCAAACTCCACTCCTCATTGCTGAAGTTCACAACCACATCCTCAAAGATAACCACCTCCTAAAGGATCATACATATATTTCTCAAAGGAAGCTTGAGACCCCAGGTTTGCGATATCTTAAATTCTCTCCTACAAATCTGAATCAAAAGCAAAGTGTGGTGGTGCATATCTATAATCCCAGCACTCAAAAGGCGAGACAGGTAGGCATCAGTGAGGTCAGGCCAATTCTAGGCTCTATAGGGTGTTCAAATCCAGCTGATATACATACAGAAAGCTTGTCTCAATAAAACAAAACTAAACTAAAGAAATACAACCAAACAAAACAGCTGAATGAAGACTGATTTCTTCCAATTTTAATCCATGTCTTGGTCGTTAATTTTGTGTCTATATACATTTTTGAAGACAGCAAATTTGATACTAGATTGCAACTCACTGCTAATATAACAGCCAAATAGGAGCACTGATTCTTGTGCTGAGTCATGGCAAGATTCCCTGTGCTCTTTCTCTAAAGCAGAGCTCACAGTGAGAAGCCTGCAGGACCAGCAACCACAAAGCACAGAGGCAGATAAATGTCTCATCAATTGCCTTGGAAGCCAAGCAAGCACCTCCCCTCCCTAGTCAGAGGTGGCAGTCTGGAAAACTGCAGCCCTTCCAGGGGGATAACCAGCAGCAGCTCCTAAGATCCGTTCTATGTTGGAACTTAGGGCGCTGTGAAACCAAACAACCAGCCTGTCTCCCTAGTAAGCAACACTGAACCTACTGATGCACCACCTGGAATCAAACATCCCACTTCCCTACCCCTCTTCTCCTGTCACCCCACATTAGCAAATGGGAACCAGAAATCTGAGCATCTCCTGGGAAGTAGACCATAGCAAATAAGGGGGACTTCCTTCTACTATCTCCTTGAAGGAAAACATTTTTATTATTGTTTCACTCTATTCTGATTAATGGTACTGCTCAATTCAATATTCTGTTTTGAGAAGTTCTATAATGTTCTGCATTTCATCTCATTTTGATATATGTGATTAAAGAATAACTATGATAAAGATAACAAAATATACTGTGATACATATTACTGTTATCCCAGTAACCTGTTGTGAAGTTGTGTACCAATTTCACTGTGTGATCTTAGTTGACCTTAAGCTGCCTTGTTCTGTTCTATTTTACCAATTTCAAAATTAAATAAAAAATCTCAGTAATCACGTTGATAGACTACAGATAATGTCTGTTCAAATCTCATTTAGGCCAATGAGTACTTTGTTCTTAATATACTTAAGCAGCATTTTGAAACATGAATTTGGTTTCATAGAACAAAACATAAATAACATCAAATATGGTATATAAATAATAACTCAAGTGTTAGTGGAAAACAGCTGTATTTTAAAAATATGTATATAAAATGAAACCAGGCCCAAGCTGTAAATTAAACATCACTGTCACCAAGTGATCACTTTCAATTCAAATATAAGAAATATATCTTGGGAGGCTGGTGAAGGATTTCTTCCTTGAATTTGGGGCTTTCCTAACTTACAGAGCTGTCTAAAATAGAAACCCCTGATTGAGACACCAAACAGACAAAGTGAAACTTAAAAAGAGACTGCATAACACACCTTTGGTTAGTTTTAAAAAAATTATAGCCACACAATACAGAAAAATTCCAACAATAGTCAACACTTTCTCAGAAACAATGTGGATATCGTCCATAATACACAGAAAATATTTTCATAGTTGCGTATTTAGCTCAGTGTCATGAACACCTGCCTGGAAAGCATAGGTCATGCGTTTCATCCTTGGTACAAAAAAATTGAAAATTTCAGCTTCATGAGAATGGGGCATAATTAGAGATAATCAAATTAGATCTCAAGTATGGAACACAAAAATTATGGGTTGACAGGGATGTGGAATACTGATTGTTGCCAGAGCTGGTGTTGATCACCTCAATGAAGCAATCAGAACCCAACTTAACTTCACACTTACTCTAAGAACTACCTGACTTTCAGTGAAGACGCTCTCTGTTGTATGTCCTGCGATTTGCTGCCTGGATCCTGTCACCCACTTCCACATCTTTTCCACACTCCTCTGATCCATCCTAAGCAGAAAACCCTTCATGCCTAACTATCGATATCACTGCAAAATTTCTATTTAGGGCTTCTCATTTGCACCACTTAGATAAGTCCACTGTAGAGAATTTCCACATTTAAACTGTCTATTAACCAAGCTACTAAATCAGCTCTTAATTCAGAGGTGACACCCCTATTCCTTTCCATTCAGAAGGGCATCACATGTATATGACCATGCAAATGTGTAAATTTTGGCATTTTTCGATGAGAATTTAAGAAGTAGCCCTTTCTGGAATTTGTCCTTCACAAATTTTTACCCCGTCCTTGATAACACATTTTACTTCATTTTTCTCAGACTTCAAAACTCTATGGCTGTTCTCACAAACCTAGTCTGTGAGCAAGGGTGCCACCTAAATAATTAAGTATGTTCAGAAATTATTTTGCACTGATCTGTATAATACACAGGAGTTCACCAGTTGTTTCCGAAGCCTTTCTCTGCTGAGGCACAGTACTACATATCTCTGAATTCTCAGACCTTTGTCACTACCTGTCATGAGGATGGAAATAGGAGAACATACTATAAATTTAGGAGATCACTATAAATACAAAAAAGCCCAAGTTTAAGTTGAGCCATTGTGGCTATGAGGCCCTGCATTACATACATTAATAAACTCTGGACATTCCAGATCTGTTACTCTGCAGAAAGAGAGCATAGACTTAGATCATTACTGCTCTACAAGCTACAAAAGCATCATAGTCAGGGTC